AATGTCTAAATAAGTTATAGAACTGCCCTTTCCCTTTTTGGTTAATTTAATGTATTCTGAAGAATTACATATGAGCCTCCAACTATTTATATCCTTGAAATTCTCAGGTAAGAAAGCATTATGTATGAAAATCCAGTTTCATATTATTGCAATATTGTTGTTTACACCAAGATATAATAAAAAGCATAGTGACTCACCTGAAAAAATGCTGAGAATCCAGGGTCTTTCATAATTCAAGTTACCTAATTCTTCTTTATCACCCTATGTAACCTATGTAATCCAACTCTATGGCCATGGCCAAGGTATTTCATACTTGTGATATTATACTAATAGGACACATCTTGAAATTCATAAATTTACAAAAATCTTCTAATGTGGTATTTTCTGTGGACATAAACTCTGAATTGTTTGAAGTCCCATGTTTGCAACAATATTAAAGATTTCCAAGATATAAAAAGGAATCCTACATTTCTTCTGGTTAGAGGAGAAATTGAAGAAAAAGAAAAGATTTTTGTTCTGAGAAGCAGTGAAATAAGGGCTAAGCACATTCACCACCAAATAAGCAGCGTTGGTGGACACAATATTCCATAGTAAAAAAGCTAGCAATAGCAATGTAACCTTAGAGAATTGCTGGGAGTGGCTGAAGAATTCCAGCGTTGCACATTTCTGCTTCCAGGTAATATGAACAGGATTTTTCATTCACAAGAAATTCATGGGTTGCTTTCTCCTGGCATATGATGGAGAAGAAGGGGAAAAAGTTTGGATATATTTATTTCTTACTTCGATGGTCTATTAAAGCTTTCAACAAAAATATATCCTTTGGAAATGTGAAAACAATCATGTTCTTCTTTTTTCCCCACCTTTAAGTGTATGAGACAGGCAAAATATATGAGGAAAAACAGAATGAACAAACTGGCATAGTTTATGAAAGATTTATATACAGTATTCATTTTACTAACATAAGGGCAAACGTAGAATCATAAGCTTTTTTATCATAAACAAAATTAGATTTTCAGGATCATATGCTCATTACTGAAAAATCCCACAAATAAAAATTTGTTCATGGAAAAATAGAGATACTTTGAATACTAAAGTCCTTTATTCAACAACACATAAATTTCACAAAAAACAACTTTACTGGGCAAATTGAATGTGTTTTTTAAAGTTTTTTTTTTACAGTTTTGTACATGCCCTATAAGTAATTTTCTTTAATAAATACACTGTTTTCCAAAACTGCTTTTTTTATAATTGCACAAGCATACATACACCTTACACAAATATCTGTTAGAAAATTTAATAGATAACTGCACAGTTCAGAATAGGAGAGCACTGTGAAATGAGTACATTTTGTGGTCCATTCCTGAAACTTCTCTGACTTCCTTGCAATTGTGAAAATTGAACCCCTTCTAACATAGTAGCTGTCTTCCATTCACCAGGAATACAGATCTCAGTGTGAAACTGCCAAATTTAATAAAAACAAAATCTGAAACATTTAGCTATTACATGAGAACCAACTGTTTGATATCCCTGTGATCAAAGACCCACTACGGTTTTTGCTGAACATATTTGACCCTAAATGGTGTGTTCATTTAACGGCTTTCCTTTTTTCATTATTTGATTACAGATACTATCAGCTTAAACACTTTCTATGCTTTAGGATTAATTGTACAATTTACATGTCAGGGGTTCTGAATAAAAGGAAGGGAATATCCTTTTCTTTTAGTGATTAGTTAATATTAATTCCTAGTCAGCCCACCATCTCTTGCTCCTTATAAATGTTTAGAAGAAGGAAGTTGTGTATTTGGAATTAAGCAACCAGGAGATGTCTTTATACACTCTTACAATGGAGGAAGACATTTTTTTCTCCCAAGCATGGATACATTTCTACTTTTACATATGCCTCCCCTTGTACACAGACAGATAGAATTCATCACAAAGCCGTTTTAGTCTGAAGGCCTGTAAAAAAAGGTTTACATTATGATGTTCTTGTGATGTTAGGGTGCTAAGTGACAACTGACAAGGAAATTGACACCCAGAGATTTCCCATGCTCCCCCCAAAATGCTAACAGAATATAGCATTTCCTCATCTACACCGAGACGAAGCAAGACTTCTGTGTATGTAGACCGCTCTTACAAACTATTTTATTTGACTTAGCTGATAGGAAATTTTTAAGGTATATTGATAGTCCACCCGATCTATATTCCATTTTTATATTTTAAATATTCTTGGTGCTGAATATAAAACATACAGTGAGGAATTTTAAAAGTTGCATTTCATTGGTATTTTAAAAATCATGAAAATGTAAACCTTTAAATCATTCCCTTAGGGTTATAATGATACGCTTTACAGCTCTTGGTATATAGACTTAGAGAAAGGAATTAGAGTGAGGCCGGAAGAGTAATATCCTTCTTCAACATCATCAACGAGAACTTTATATGCACTCTACATTATATAAATAGAGTTTTAGCAAAACCAAAGAAATGGGTAAGTGTAAAAGAACAATGTCAAGAATAAGAACATATAAGAGAATTAAAGAAAAGCTATACATTTCCATTTTAATAATCAACAGATTTTCTTTCATTAAAAATTGAATTGACATGTAAAACACCACATTTTACAATATACAGATTCATAAGTTCTTTAAGAAAACGAACAAACAAAAACACATCAAGACATGCAACACTAGCATGTATTTTAGACTCATGGTACATTGCTATGAGATCTTTATATGTTACTGTATGCCTAATGCAGTCTGAAGGGAAAGAAGTTTGCTTCACTGCTGTAATAACAATCATCGTTTTCCAAAAAGCAAGGCAAGCTTCCCATTCAAGTGTGAAAGTTAGTTTTCACTTACTTGTAAAAATTATCAAATTGATTTTAAAAATAAGTAAAATAAAAAAAAACTAGAAATAATTCATATAGCTCTCTTCTCCCACAGCTGGAATAGAAATTCTATCTAGAAATCCTCAAAGGAATATATAGCAATTGTAAAGTGATCTCAAAACTAACATACAGCATGTTTTAGTTTGTGATTATTTAATTCTCTTCTCTAAACATGGATAGGTGTAACAGATAATGAATTTTCCTCAAAAAGGCTTTTGGACCATAATTGTGGACCTTGCATTCATATTCCAGGCAAGTTAAAGCACACTTTAACATTGGCATTTGTCAGCACCTTATCCATCCCTCCCTCCAGAATTCTTATGGTGAATGCTCCTTCCATGTTTTTTTAAAAATCTCCTCTGTTCTATTACTTCCAATTCAAAGCTAGAACTAGCCTTTTAAAATTATTCATCTGCTAGGCTTTCTAAAGTTTTGCAGTCTTTTTCATCACACTTTCTCTTCCCAAGTTATTTTTCTTCACATGATACATTTTGCTAACATTTTTCAAAAGGCTAATGGATGAGTAGGCTGAAATAAGTGGATAAAAAAACAAAAAATGACAGTAACATGGCAACTTTGATTCTCTATGTGTTTTTGCTAAACTCTATTTTATTGTTGAAGTTGAACAATCTCTGACGAAAGAAAGAAAGAGAAGGAAAGAGAGAAAGAAAGAAAGAAAGAAAGAAAGAAAGAAAGAAAGAGAGAAAGAAAGAAAGAAAGAAAGAAAGGAAGGAAGGAAGGAAGGAAGGAAGGAAGGAAGGAAGGAAGGAAGGAAGGAAGGAAGGAAGGAAGGAAGGAACTTCTTAGGTATCATGTCATCACAAATAATAATTGTCCTACTGGGACAGCCTTAGGATCCCCAACTGCCATAAGCAAACCAAATTCTACATGAAAAGGTAGCCTGGGCCTATGAAACATACTCCTTTGTGTTTAGGGGTTGTTTACATTTATGGAATTCTCTGGAACCACAGCATCCTTGATGACAAGAATGGGAATGGGAGCAATGGAACATTCCACTGAGGGCCTAGGGGAAGGCCACTGGTCCAAATAGGAGGCTACGAGAAAGGAAGATAACAAAAGATTTTTAAAAACCTCACTTTTATGAATGTGTTTAATTCTTTTTACTTAAAAATATACCTAGCCATGTCTCAAGGCAGAAGCTTTGATATGTTCAAAATGTAAAACAAAACTACCCATTTAATATCATACATGGAGTTAAAACATGTGGATACATTTTATTAAGTGTTTATTTTTCCTACCAAAAAAGTAAAATAAAAATAAGGCAAAAAATAAACAAACAAAAAATACAGCCCCTGCTGCGCTAGTAAAAAACTCAGTCATGGATTTCTCCCCCTACGATATGATACTTTATTCTGTATCCTAGAAAACACTGTTTTAAAAAAATTTATACAACTGATTCTGCATGTTCCAACTACTCAGAGTACTCTGCCTTACAGTGCAACCCAAGACAAGTCAACTACACTAAGTATTTGGGAGGTATACCCTTCTGTACAGCTCATTTGTAAGCAATGCAAGTGCATAACCACTACTCTAATATAGTGCTCAAAAGATTAATTGAAACTTTCATCACATCTTCCCTCCTATAACAATACAACTGCAGGTAATTGCCGGATGCATCATAATCTTTTCTTCTTGTGAAACTTGGCATCGAGTCTCTACTGAAAGATGCATGGCAAAACATGCCACCGCTGTTGCTGCTTCTAGAAACAACTGGCAAAAAATATTTAAAGCTAAAATTTATTGCTCCAGATTTAACTCGCAGAACCATACTGTTGTGTACAAACTGTTAATCTCCATAGATGCTCAGACGTGATTGTCTCCTTGTGTCTAGACACACAAAATACAAGCTGCTATCTGTACAGTTTACAGTACTGAAACACATATATTTGAAAATGAAGTATAGATATGTACTTTGCAAAGATACATGATTTTACAGCAGGGGTTTACCCAAACTTATTTTTTTACAGCCACTTTCAAAATAGACAACAACTTCACTAGTATAGCTAAATTACATCAAAGAATCAGTGTATCCAAAGTAAATAGACTGGCCAATTCCCCAAGCTCCCAGATTATTTTGATATGTCTTTTTTTCTTTTCTTTTCCTCTTTTTTTTTTGAAGAAACCCCTATACATAAAATGAAAATAATATCTGGATATTTTCTTCAGTGGTGGACTAAGCAGTTCCTTAAAACAAGACATTAGTTTGCCCTTCACTTCCAAATGCCTTGAAAATAAGATAGACTACTGCTTTAAAAGAACCATCGGAATGCTTCGGCGCTGGGAACAGGTGTTCTCTATAAAAAAAGAGCAAGAAGACAAGTTAAGCTTACTTTCTATGCCAATATAAAATTAGAATTTTCTCCTTTATTCTTCAGCAATAGCTTTAGTCAGTAAGGTACAACATAATGACTTGTATATTTCAACATTTAATAAAAAATGGATGGTCAATCTTAGAACACTACAAAAATTAGAATATTGAATTTAATGCTAACTTACTAAATATAATGATTAAAACTCATTGGTCTAAAAATAGAGGAAACACAGTGTAGAACAGGGATAGCTATTAGAATGAATGGGATGGTTCATGCCATTAATAGTAGGAGGACCAGCTAGCAAGTGTCCTTAAAATCTGTACCTGCCACATACACATGCACCCTCTGTAAGACCAATGTTTAGAACTCAGTGAAGTAATTTATTTTTTGTTCTGGAGGACTTCTTTTATGATAAGACCACAGTAAACATTACATAAATATTACTTCTATCACTTAACAACTATTAATGCTAAATATTCCTACGGATAATCTAATCAGAACTAGACTGACAAAATATATCACTATTTTAAAGTAAGTCTGCATATTCAATAAATTAATATCATCTATATGAAACAAACTTATACTAACCAATGATTCCCAATGGACCATAACTACCCTTTTGTACCATAAAAATACTACCATATTCCAAAGGAATAATAAACTAATACCAAAAGTTTGAGCAACTGTTTCAACAAAAAGCTAATAGTTACAATGGTGTTTTTTTATTCAATCGTAGTTAAACTGTTGAATTTTCCTCTATATATTAACATTATAGCAATCCATCATGCCACACTCTTTTTTATAAAACAGAATCCCATAGGTACATATTGAAGGTACATAAGAAACAAGTTAAGAGTAAATTTTCTCATAAGGGCAAATGAGAGTTAATTTTATTCCTTGTTAAACTAGTCCAACCAGCCTGTGTAGACTATAAGATGTCTGCTGAGGACAAATAAGTAAATTAATTGTATGTTGACTCTTACAAAAATATTGAGTTAGTATAAAAGAACATGTACACACACACATACACACACACACACCTTATAGAGTGTTAACATACAGTGTTAATAATATTTGAATTTCGTATTTCAGAAAATACATAAGAAGTCCTACCACAAATACTTTTTGATAACTGGTTAGCTTTTATTTACTTTCTCACACATGCCTTATTCGATTGATGCAGTCCTGTAGTAATGTCATCTAAAAATAAAATTAATAATTGATCAAGATGTTAATTGAAATTTAAATATATAAAATAATCATTTTGGAAAGTAAAACTGTTTTCACTACCTGTACTTAAAATATTTTTTTATAAACTGTCCTCATAGCCAACACAATAAAGTTCAACATGAATGTGGTAAGAAAGCCCTATTTGTTGCTTGGTTTTTGAGAAAAAAACCTGTTTATTGCTTTCTACGCTTAACTTTTGAATGATAAATGTAATAATGATAAATGCTCCTACATGCACTTAATCATTATTAAAGTAACTATGAATAAGAAACAATATATTCATTCTAATATTTATGCTTCACACACACACACACACACACACACACACACACATACGCAGTAAATGCAAACTTAGTTTATAACAGATGCTAACTTGCTGCCTCATGCCAACTAAGAATAAATTTTATTTATGTATGCATACTTATATAAATGTAGTCATTTTTAACAAGTTAGATCCAAGCATATTCATGCAATTACAGATTCACATATGAAAAATAAAACATGTGCACTTATATTCACATATATTCACATTTACATGTATAGTATATGACATAGAGATGCCAAATTTACTCTCAGATGCCAACTGGAAACAAGATTGTAAATATATGCTTATATAATTTTGTATCTTGATAAACATATGTTTATGAAGATAAACAAAAAAATACATGGAATACATTTTTTAATGAGATGAACTCCTTATGTCTTAGATATTTTAAACTTTCTTTTCCAGCTCTTTGCTCTGCCTGTGACCCTTTCCACTACTCACTGTTATTTATAATATTTTTAAAAAGACAGCTCTATGAAATGCCACTTGGGCTGAAAGGTCAATGTTGTGAGAAAAAAGATAAGCACTTCTCAATGCTTGTTGGCACAAAAATTAGATAATGCAATGAGAGAAGCAGAGAGCTGGTTTTCTATACTAACAAGATCTGTCACAAAACAGCTCTGTGATGTGGGCATATTACTGTGCATACGTTGAAACCAGCATCTATCTCTACATAAGGACATGGACAAACCACTGCCCCAGGGAAAGAAAGAAGGTACGCAGGGAAACATCTCCTAAAAAAATATTTCTCTTATATTAATATCTTTGATTGAGGTCATAAAGCCTAAAAAATGATTAGGTGGGCACCATTTAGAACAAATTTTCAAGGCATTCACCAGAAACTTGAAGTGATATTTCTCTAACAGTTTTACTAATGAAAAGTAACAAAGCTCCTTAGTGTCCCATAGGCCACAAAACACAGGATGCAGAGCCAATCTCCTGCCCAAATTTTATTGGGCTCATTGGAAATTTATGTTAGGCCTGGACTAAGTTCTTTTCAGGATGGGTGAAGCAACACTGTAATATATTAGATTAACATCAGGCAACATCTTGGGTTAAATTACAGGTTTCTGATTGTACTAATTTGGGGATATATCTTCTCTAATTTTGTCAGCGGATGAGGTCGTCTTTATCAGAGGGTTTCCATTTTAAATGGGTGGGATCTCTGGGGACCAACGTGGGGGATTATGCACCCCGACCAGCTAGCTACCTTTGGGTTATATAAATTCAAGAGTCCCAGCAGGGGAATCACACTCTTGATGAGATTACAGTGACTTTCTGGATCTCAGTGATGCTTGCAGGAAATCGTTATCCTGAGTGACAGGAAAGCCAGATTCCCCAGGAAGAGAAGGGGGCGGGAGGTAAAGAATAGAATTGAGTTGATGGGCATTGTTCAAGGCAGCCTTCACTGCTCATGCAGGTGCAAACACTGACGAACAGCAGTCTTGCTCCCAGGAGGCCTGGGGAGCAGTCTGCAGCCCCCCCTTTCTCTTTCCGGTTCTGCTGTAAAGCATCGTGTTCCAGAGAATTCATCCCTATATGAGCCAGATATGAAATGACCTTCAAGTTTAAGTGAATGCCTTCTGTTTCCCTCCTAAATTACCTTAAAAAGCCAGCACATTTCTTTGAATAGAAGAAAGATATAATCCAAGTCCAAGCACATTTTACATTTACTTTTATATTTAAAAAAAAGAGAGAATACATATCCATGTCCCTGGAAGAAATGTAATTCGGCTTGATTTTCATCAAATCAGCAATGAAGAAATAATTAAATGACATAAAATAAATAAGATTCCCAAAAGCTGGCACTTTAAGGATTAAGCATGTTTCTTTTTTTATTGGTGTCTGCTAAGCAGTCACGGGGACTATGGTATCTTCTGGCTGATCAGGGCTTTACATTCTCTTGTTAAAAATATATCAAGCTTAATATAAACTTACCTCCTAAAAAGTGAATTTGGAGTATCTACAACTTTGTATATATGAACTATATTGGATTGACTATTCCTATCTAGATACAATATGTGAAATGTAGCAGTATTCTGGACACAATAAAATGCATTATTTTTAATAGAGCTAGACATGAGTTTTCAAAAAGCAGCTCAATGTTAAAATTTACTTCAGAATGCATGTTATAAATTGAGATAATAATTATGACATTAGCAAATTCTGTAACTAAAGTTAAATATATCTTTGTATTTACTCATACACTTCGAAATCCAAAAGTCTCAATGATTTGCCTATGCCTTCAGAATTCTACTGTGAAACAGGATGATTCTAATGCAGTGATTTCCACATGGAAGTCAGTATTTTAAAGTACCAATATTCTTACACTAATTAAAGAATAATTTCCTTCAATCCCACTTTTATTAATAAAAGAAATATGTCAATCAATAATTTTCTGATTCCCATATATAATGATGCTTATCTAACCAAAAGCAAAGACATCTGAAACTGTACTTAGCCAATGCAGCCTCTTGTAAACTATTTTGAAATATTGTTCTCACTATGAGAAGTTCCACTATAAGTTTTTAAACTCTTGGACATCCAAGGCCTTGGAATTGGAAACACCCGCTGCATTTGATTTGCCTCTTCATGCTAGAATTTGAAAATCTTAACGAACCACTGAATGTGGCAATAAAACGCATCTGAATCAATATGACAAAAGATAATAGTAAGTCCTATTGCTTGCTTTTAGATATTTGATTATATTTGCTTCAAACTTTTGGATTTTTTAGATGAACAAAAAGAAAAGAATCCCGGGTGGTGGGAAAAAAATCCTTTTTTTCATTATTTAATTCACAATGATGCTAAAATATCAAGTTATTTAGGTTAACCATTTTACTGACAAAATTTCAAAACCTACCTGGCTAAATGGAAAACTACATATATATATATAATGTGAATACACACATACATGCATATGAATACAAATCTTTGGATAATCAATTGGTCTAAAATGATACCTAGCAAATGTTAGAGATGCCCCAAAATGGTTTTAGCAGAAATATTTTCCCAGATCCTATTTATAAATAGCATATTTAAAAATCATAATCCAGCAATTATAACAGAATAATTAGCAAGTGCAGATAGAGCATAGGTAAGTATGAGAGACAATTTATGATAGATGATAAACTCACAGTGCAGTAATTTACTATTATATTCAAAAGCAACTTTATATTTTAATAATACCTTAATTTAAAAATATGTGGGTTGATGTATGTATACACTGTTTTCACTTTTAAAATTATATCTTACTTTCTCCTTCCTTTCTGCTGTACTATATATGAATATATATATATATTCATATATATGTATATATGAATATATATATTCAACTTTTCTCATAATTAAGATTCACTTCTCATATAAGCTGTATAAGACTGGTATACTCACAGCTTATTTTGGCCATTTTCCATATGTAAACTAA